CTTTCCTGAGGGAGTGGGGTGGTGGTTGTGTGCAGGGAGTGGTGGTTACCATTCTTTTGGTGTTAAATTATGTTTTTTTTTCCTTCCCCCTTCCCTCTTGCTTTTCTCTTCTTTTCTTCACCCTCCTCCTTTCTCCTTTTTTTCCATCTTTCCTTTCCTGATACGTCCCCTCCCCATCCTTCCCTTCTCTTTACACCTTCTTTCTCACTTCCCTCCTCCTTTCTTTTTTCTTCCTGAACCCCCACCAACCTTTGCCCCTGCAGGATACTCTGAGCACTTTCAGGATGTCTTTGAGGGTTCCACCTGGGATTCGGGAAACCTCTCTCTTGCTCTCTACTCTGCCCTCTTCTCTTACTCAGGTTGGGACACCCTTAATTTTGTAACAGAAGAAATCAAAAACCCAGAAAGGTAAAGGCGGGCTCACTCTCTCATTCCCCAATGTGGCTGGAACTCCTGCTGGTAGAGGGCGTGCTTAACCTCTTGCTTCCCCTTGTCCCTCTGTCTCTCATCCCTCCCTACTCCTCTAGCTCAGAGGGATGAGGGGTTAGGACAGGAAGGAGTAAAGGTGGGAAAGCCCCTGACTCCCAGCCCTCATGTTCACATTGGAGGACCCCAGGGTTCTTCCCCGAGGAGTGGGCTACAGCAGACCCAGCTGGGCTGAGGTGGCAGGCCCTTGTGCTCTGGTCCTGACACTGAGGCCTGGTGAGCCAGAAGTTTATTCTGTGCAACCAGGTCCCTAGCCTGGCCTCTAGTCCTTAGAGGACACTGCTCCTTCAGTGGGACCCATTGGTCCTATTGTGGGTGGTGATCATGAGCTATCTTCACAGAGAAAGATATCTGTCCGGCTGTCTATCTGTCTCTCTCTCTGTCTCTCTCTCTCCGTTTCTCTCTCTCTCTCTCTCTCTCTCTCTCTCTCTCTCTCTCTCCACGCACAGAAAGAGGCCATGTGAGGACCCAGTGAGAAACACTCTCTCTCTCTCTCTTTCTCTCTCTCTCTCTCTCTCTCTTTCTCTCTCTCTTTTGTCTCTATCTCAAAAGAGTCCAGGGGCTTGGGATACCGACTCACTCTCGGCCACATGGGAAAGAGGTGCTTTAAAGAGGCCAGGGAACTGTTTAATGTCAGAAAAATCCCTTGGTGAACTTTGACCCCAAGGAGAGGTTGGTTCTAGATAGTTCTTTCTCACTTGTCCTGACAGAAATCTGCCCCTGGCCATTGGGATTTCTATGCCAATTGTGACGCTCATCTACCTTCTGACCAATGTGGCCTATTACACAGTGCTGAGCATTTCAGATATCCTTGGCAGTGATGCCGTGGCTGTGGTGAGTTTTTTGGGAATCCCTATTTGCTTGTCATCTTATGATACTGAATGGTTCAATCTCTCTGCAGCCGCTCCAGCTCTGCAGGGCAAGGTGGCAGGTCTAGGCCAGAGGGTGGGCTGCTCAGTGGCGACTGTGTTTGTCCCGACAGCCCAGATGCAGGAAACTTAGGAAACCCTGTTTTATGCTGAGTGCCCTTTCTGCGCTCTGCCCCCAGACATTTGCTGACCAGACATTCGGCATGTTCCGCTGGACCATTCCTATTGCCGTTGCCCTGTCCTGCTTTGGGGGCCTCAACGCATCTATCTTTGCTTCATCAAGGTACTGTATCTCTGCTTCACCCATAACAGACTCCATTATTTAATTCTCTAAGGCTTTGAGTGAGCCCATAAGAGCTCTTCTTTTTCCTTCTTCCTCTCTTGGAAATAGAAGGCGTGTGCGTGTGTGTGGGTGTGTGTGCGTATGTGTGTACACATCTGTATGCATGTATGTGCCTTAATGCAAATGTTTATGTGCTGGTAGCTCATGTTTCCGTCTGAAGTGAGGACAGATTGGTAGGAGAGGAGGAGGTGGAAAGGAGGAGGACGGCAGTAGCTTGGCGTAGGGACCCTGTCAGGCACCAGCCTATAGGCTCCTTGTGGGTTATGGCACAACCCCAGGGTTTATTCCTTCAGTAAATGATTACTGAGCACTTGATGGGTACCAGGCACTGGTACAGAATGACTCTGCCCCTCACTTCACAGAAAATTCCGAAGCCGACAGGTAGGCTCCTGCTCTTCTCTTTGTGCAGAGACTTATCTATAAGAGCACTGTCCCTCCTGTGGTTTCAGAGATGGGAGCAGTTGTGCCTTGCCAGGCTGACTCTGCTACCTGGTCTCAGGGTTCCAGACTTCCCTTCTTCTTCAGCACTTTGCTTCATCAGTTGTCCCTTCTCTTTGGTGGGTTGGAGCCATCTCTACACAAGCTTCTTTCATCTTCTCCTACAGAAGTCACAAAACGGCTTTCCCCATCTCCCCTCTTCCTTACTGGACACATTTCTTGAGAGAATAGTTTGCATTTCAGCAGTCATTCATTTATTTACCCATTACACTTTGGCTTCTACGACTAAACTGTTCTTACTAAGGATACTAGTGACCTCCTTCTTAGTCTCCTTTCAGTCTTTGTCCTACTGGACCCACGAAGCAAATGATGCTGACAACCTTCTACAGTACTTCTAAAGCGATTCCTGTGGCTTCTGTGACACTCTGGTAGCTAAAAAGAAGGCTTCTTTCCTGATTCCTCTTCCACTCACCTTATAAATATTACTATCCCAAGGCCACAAACATTCTTACACCAGCCTTCAGAGACCACACTCTCACGCCTCCAAGCCTCTTATGCCTTTGCTTGCACTGTTTCCTCACCCACCCACTCACCTCTGGCAAACTCCAGCTTTTCTTCCCTGCCCAGATGTGGTCATCTCTTGCAAAGCTTTTCGTTCCTCCAGCCCACCCCCAGACCTGGTGAGTGCCATGTGCTCCATGATGATGCTGACTGCCCTCCGTGGCGTTCCTTTCTCTGCTGCTCTGTTTCCCAGTCAGTAGGGCTCTTTAGGTGCAGAGAGGAAGGCTGGGTTGTCTTTTTGAACTCCAGGCTCATCCTGGCCTATCATATATCAAGAGCTCAGGGAAGGTATATGGAGGGCACAGCAGAAGTCTGGCTGCCTTCTTTAAAAAGCCATTGTGTTAAGTATGAAATCTATGGGGTGGCAGAGTGAGGGTACCCCTGGTGGGATAGATTGGGTGCCAGTGGGTGATGGAAAGGTGAGGCATCCAATGGGTGATGGTAAGATATCTGTGATTGAGAGAAGTGGGAGTGTCTGTGGGTGATGGTGTATTCCATAGCTAAGGGGCTGGAGGTGTCAGCAGGTAGCAGTGGGGTAGGACGTTTATGGGTGACGGTGAGGTGCCCAAGGTTGAAGAGGGTGGAGACATCTGTGGGTAATAGGGGTAGGTTGGGCTGGGCATGCATGGGGAACATGGGATGCTCCTGAGAGATTACCTGCTGCTTTTTTCTGGGGCTCTGAGCCTAGTTTGTCTGAGTGAGGAGTGTGGCTGCATGGTTGAGTAAAAGGATAATGCTGACATATTTCTTGTCTCTCCAGGTTATTCTTTGTGGGTTCCCGGGAGGGCCACCTCCCTGACCTTCTGTCTATGATCCACGTTGAGCGTTTTACACCCATCCCTGCTTTGTTGTTCAATGTAAGCTCTGCTGGGGGTGTGTGGGGCCCAGATATATCTGTGTAGTACTCTTCATGAGAAGACTGTAGTGTGGGAGGTATAGTAGCTTCTTGAGATACTTCCCGAGCTTCTCCTTGTTTCTTCCTTTTTCTTAAAATTATTTTAGAATATAAAACTTAATCGTTTTAAAGAAGGGAAATGCTACAAAGGAACACAAAAGTGAATTTGTAAGATTTTTCTTTTATGACAGTGCCTTCTTCTTCCAGCTCCTCCTTATTTTTTAAATTGTTAAATCATATTTAGAAAAGAAACCAGACCAGTTGTACAACTATCCAAGAGGCTTCTATTCATATCATAGACATCATAGATTTATAAATAGTAGATGGCAGTAGTGTTTTATTACACCAAAATTAGTAAATTACAGAAGTGTTCTGACAGATGAAAGAGTCCTGAAAAGACCACCATTTTCTAATTTGCAATGTGTTTTATATATATAAAAGCTAACAGGGACCCGGAGAAAGGCCTTACTCCAAGATCTGAAATGCAGTGAATTTTTCTTGTCATTAAGTCTTATGTGGTTTAATTAATTAAGTTTAAGTTTTGGATTCATCTGGAATTTATATTTTGGTGTACGGAGTAAAGTGGAGAATCACTTAATTTTTTTTTTTTCAAATGACTAGCCAGCTATACCAATATCATTTATTGAATAATCTATTTTTCTATCATTTTCAAATTTTTTATCATATAAAAATAATAATAATAGTTAATTTTTTAGAGTGCTTCATATGCACCAAGTATAACAATATGCCCCTAAAATATATCATCATCTCAACTAATCAGCACTAAGCTTCATTATTTGTCTTTATACTGAATCGCTGAAAACAATGAGGGTACTTCTTCAGTTTTTTTCCTCCTGGAATTTTCTTGGCAATTTTTCATATTCATTTGTCTTGATGAACTTTGGTATCATTTTGTCAAAATAACAAAAAACTCTCAATATTTTGATTGAGATAGCATTGAATTTATAAATTTAGAGGAGATCCAACATATTGTCTTTTAATTGAATAACCTTCCACCTCACTTTTCTCCTCTCAATAAAGGATTCTGCTTCTCTCACCAGAATGGGCTCTTTTTGCTTTAAATCTTTTGTTGATAATCTGGGGTGAAAAGATAGGTAGAGGAAACTCCATATTCTTTTTTTTTTAATCCATAAATATTATACAAATTTTAATAGCTTAAATTGTACATACAGCCAAATAAAAACTTGCATTAATGATTGGTAGAGCTGGCATCATAGGAGCAGTTTGCCATATTGTTGAAGTTTAAGCAAATCTGACCTTGTCCCAGGACTGTAGTCCCTGACTCTGGTCTTCCAGAGCACTTTTGTTCCAAAGGGCAAATTCTGTCGAACCTTTCTCCTCAGAGGTATGGCTCCATTTTGCTAATCTGCATTTCTAAGGCACCAGAACAAGTGAGATGGTTCTGGAGGAATTTGCCCATTTGTATTCCAGAGGGCATGATGTGATTCATGTTGAGGTTGGTGCATTGATGTGAGAAGGGCCTCACTGTCTGCCATCAGAAGAGGAATAAGGTCTGGCTTGTTACTGAAGTGCTTGCAAAAAAAGGGAGGCGTTGAGTGGAGGAAGGGCCCCCAACAGAAGAGGGAGAGACGACACTTTAAAAGTTAAGGTAGAGAACAGACCTTGCTGATGCCAAGGAGTCACTGAAGAGAACCAGGGGTGATCCAGCGAAGTTAAATCAGCAGTTAGCAGATCTAGTGATGGTGGAGTCTCCTGGGGTCTGGTGGTGACATTGCCCCCTCCTGGTTTCCCCTTTCTCCTCCAGTGTACCATGGCACTCATCTACCTCACTGTGGAGGATGTTTTCCTGCTCATCACCTACTTCAGTTTCAGCTACTGGTTCTTTGTGGGCCTGTCTGTTGCTGGACAACTCTACCTTCGCTGGAAGGAGCCCAATCGGCCCCGGCCTCTCAAGGTGCGTGGCTCTGGGAAGACTAGGAGGGTGGGCCATCTTTCCAAGGTGCCTTCTTCCCCATGCCCCCATCTTTCTGTTATTTCCCATCGTGTATTGCGCATGCTCCTTGTTTCTGGTGATTGTGCCCCTCTATGCTGACACCATCAATTCCATCACTGGCATTGTGATCTCCCTCTCCGGGGTCCCCGTCTACTTCTTTGGTGTTTATTTGCCAGAGTCCCGAAGGCCACTCTTTGTTCGGAATGCCGTAGGTGAGCTTCTCTTTGCCCATTACTCACTGGCTGTGTGTGTGTGTGTGTGCGTGTACACACAGATGCTTGTAGAGGTGGGGGTGGTGGCTAACAGCCACCCATACTGGTGATGTGCTAGAGGCCATGAGACCTGGCTGCCCCACATGACTTCTTCTCTTTTGATCTTGACATGATCACTTTAATTCTATCTTTGGAGTCCTATTTGGGAGTTAAAACACTACCTCTTGAAAGTGCAATCTACATGGGAGGAGAAGGAGTCATGCCTCAGACTCTCTGGTTGCGCATGGACCGGGGACGTTGAAGCTTATTGGGGTGAAGGGTAAAGCCTCCACAAGGGAGAGGTGGGAAGGGAGCCACAATATGTTTTCATCAGCCTTGTGGTGTTCAGATTGGGGCTGTAGATGAAATGTCACCTGTTTGCTAAATTCTTCTCTTTTCATTTAGCTACATTCACCAAAGTCACCCAGAAGATTTGCTTTTGTGTCCTGACTGAGCTAGATGTAGCTGAAGAGAGAAAGATTGAGAGGAAAATTGACTAGAGGCCAGAGCTGGAGTTCCCTGAGGCCTAGAAAGCTGACAAGACTGTATGGGCCCAATCCTCTTGTAGTAAAGGAGCCTGTTGGCCCACATTATGTAAAGGAACTCAGAGCTGATGGCCTACTCATGTGGTCACTCTCATTGGTAAGCTGTGGGAGGAGGCTCAGGGTCTGGGGCCAGGCTGAAGGTGGGAGACTTCAGAGGGTGGTGATGGTGGTGGAAATGGTGAATTTTGTACCTGGTGGGTGGGTGTAGCCCTTAACGCTTACTTGGTGAGTTGCACTAGGGGAAGAGGAAGTGCTAGCTAGGTTAATAGCTGTGGCTGGTGGTTTCTGAATTTGCTCGCTTGAGGTTTGAACCAAGGGCATCTACAAAGGGGCTGCATTTTGGAATGTTTTCCTCTGACCAGGTCCAAGCACCTGACTTGAGAGGCCTGAAATGCTACCATTTCTTCCTTGAGAGAGTTGTATTCCATTATTTATTGATGTTATTTAATCCAGAACACCAGTTCTTGCAAAGCATTGTTCATTCATCTACAGGATGCAAGTCTGTTTAAAAATTTAAAGTACCCAAAGCCAAGTCTCTCTGTCTTTAGAAGTGTCTTTATATGGCCGTGGGTCAGACTGTGGCCAGATTTTTTTGCTTGGTTCGAGCAGTCTTCTCTTGAGTCTTACATGCAAAAGTAAACTTTAAAGATTGTTTTACTCATGTACCTGTTACACTTAAGTATGCAGATAGTTCAGCAAGGACAGATGAACAAATTCATAAGTCAAAAGTCTGGCAATACTGCTATTCTGAAGGATAATCCTTTATTTTACTTAATTAGTTGATAGAAAGTACATCTCTGGGTTTATGGTATGAACTTTAAGAGGACAGAAACTTCTACTTCTATAGTTTGGGTGGGTCACTTGAATTCTTTCAGTTGTCAATGTCTCATGGACCCAAGCTACCAAACAGCTCGCCCCTCTCAGTAAGGGTCGGTGCGAGGGACTGCTGTGCAGACCCACGCAAGCCCACCTTGGTGCTAGAAGTGGTCATTTTCTTTTTTTGAAAACCTCACACCAGGCTGCATCCTCCTCCTCCTCTGTCCCCGACACCAGGCTTTGTTTACACTGAGCCATCTCGGTGTGGATTATCAAGATAGTGCACTCCTCTCCTGCCTGCCTCCTTGTCCCAGGTCTGGTGGGGCTGCAGTCTCAGGAAGAGCTTGGTATTTGTGGGGACTTCTCTTTTCTTCCTGTGGAAATCATGAAGACTCTGGGAGAAAGCTGCTTCAACCTCAATCTGGCTCCTTAGCAGACTGCACGACTAGAAGCAACTACTTCTGGTGCTCAGGCTACTCTTTAGCACCCACGTCAGTCCAGAGCAGTAGGTTTGTCCTAATGGGTATTCCTTCATGAGCAGCATAGCAGCACTGGATTGTACAACTGTCCGTGATGCCCCTAGACCCTGACATCCTGGGCTCAGGAGAACCTGCTGGCTTGGCATACGCCATAGGCTCCTTGTCCTTGGGTTTTAGAATTGATCAGTGGTAAAGGCAAGAACTCTGAGGCAGTCTCCCTTTCTGACCATTTTTCTCTATCAAACTGGCCCCAGTCTCAGACAAGGGAGTAACCTTGGTCATACTTGCTCAATAAAGACAATTTAGGGGAGCATGCTTAGTTGCTTTTGGTTCAAGGCATGCATGTGTGAGACCACAGGGGGACATTCCTGCCATCACGGGTTGGGGATTTGCAGAGCAAATTCCTGCCTGGCAGCAGGGAATCTTGTGCAAAGGCTGACTTGCCTAGACTATGTAAACATGACTCCTGTCTGAGCCAAGCTGGCCCCTGTCCCAGGGATCCTGTAGAGCTAATCCTTTAAGTAGAGTTTGTTCACCTTGAGGGTCCCTGAGCCAGCCTTTAGCTTTCTTCACTCAAGTAGATGACCAGCTAATCCCAGGAACTTGGTTTCCCAGTGGCTCCTGGGGGAAGCAAGGGCCTCACACCCCAGATGCCCTTACACTTGCTTAGTGAGCCATGTCATCCTCCTCTCATTACTGGATGATGACTGCATTTCCCCACTGTGCTGGATACACACTGTTCTCAGGAACTCTTCTGTGGGAGGGAGGCCAGAAGCTCCCTACAGCACTCAAGCATCATGGTGGAATTAATTCTCAAGATTTTTGTTGTCTCCTGGTGTGCTAACCCCTTTTGTAGTAGGTACTGTGTGAAGCTATCAGCCCTTTAATGTTGGCAAACCTTAATGAGTACATAAAGAAATGAGTGCATTAAAATGGTAGAGTGGTTTTTAATTCTTTGTCTCTATACCTACAGGAGTCTAAAATGACTAGTATTGGACCTGTTACTTGCAATGCTGAATTGTACCTTTGTGGATACTTAGGATGGGAAACCAACAGTGTGTTGGTTATAGCCTCAAGAGTAAAGCCTGAGTAAATATAGAATTTAATCATTTTGGCAGGTTTATCAATGCCATGTAGATAGGAAATAATGTAGGTAAAGACTTACAGAATGAATATAGAGTGAAAGAATGAGTAGAAAAGTAGAGATGCTTATGAAATCTTGAAAAGAAGTAAGGAGATGTATCCTTATGTGATTCACCTTCCCACGTGAATCTGTGGCTGTAGGTCGAGAGGGCACACCTTGAATAGAAGGTTCTGTGTAGTTCCCTTAGGCCCATGCTGTATAGTAGCTACTAGCCACATGCAGCAAGTTAAGTTAAAATTAAATTAAAAATTCAATTTCTCAGTTGCACTAATCACATTTCAAGTGCTCAGCCATATGTGCCTAGTGGCTACTATTGCATGTACAGGTATAGACATATTCATCTTTGCAGAAAGTTGTGGATAATGTTACATTAGGAGAATAAGTGCCAACTCAGAGTTAAGGTATCTGTGGTTTGGAAAGGGGTAGGAAGAGAGAGTTTGCTTATGAGATACGAGTTCTGGTAACAAAACCGGTCTTTTTGGAAGTAGTTTCTGTTGGTAGTGTTGGTGAGTGCTTGAATAAACATTCCTCACTTGCCTGAAGTCCTTAAGGTCAATTCTAAAACTATCTTACTACCCTCCCCCTGCCATTTTTGGTGGGGGATGGGGAGGAGAGAACGAGAGAGAGCACGAAGGCAAAACACCTAATATATTCAGATTTAAAAGGTTTTAAAGGAATTACTTGCGCCCATATTTAAAGTTAGTTTTTATTAAATGCAGAGTATCACATTCACATATACTTTGTTCCTTGGCACCACTGACAAAGGAAGACAGCAATCTTTATATAACCGTATCAGTCAGGAAGCAGGGAGGTAGAGACAGCTATTAACACCCTTCACAGCTCAAGCTGATGCTGGTTCCTTCCCTAGTGGCCATTCTTGTAAGGGACCCAGTGTCACCCTTCTAGATTCCCTCTATCTAGAGACAAAAAACAAGCTTTTACTTGAGGCAGGTGGCCTGTGGTATGGGAAAGCTGAATCTTACTGCTGATAGAACAGGAGACTCTCCTCCATTTACTGGCTTCAGCGTAGGAGAATGAGAAAATGCCTGGGCCGGGAAGCTTCATGTTTATGGCTTCCCCGCCCCCAGACTGTAGGGGCACTTTTGACGGAGGCAAAAGAGCCCTACAAAAGGAGGGTGGAAAAGACACCCTCCTTCAGCACATGTTTTTACTGGTAGGATGGTGCTGCTGGACATCCTTCCATGTGTTAAACTAGGAAACCCATTACCAGGGCAACTGGCCCTGCAGTCACAAAGCCCTCAAGGGCCTATGATAGAACCTCATGGATATCCCAGGATCATCAGTCTGAATCCAGGTCATGGGGGCTGTCATAGCCAAACTCCTTCTGAACATCCAAAGGGTATTTGCTCCATATCTGTGGTCTGCTGTTGCCTCTTTCCTCATCACTGAGGCTGTTGTAGTCATCAGAGCCTGGAATGAGATAACAGGAATGGGCCCCAGCTATACGATTTTTTAGGTGATCGTGAGAGTCCCTTCCCTTCTCAAAAAGGTCTGGTTTTTTTGTTCCCCATTATAAAATACTTGTTCAATAAAGAGAATTTAGAACATTTAAAATAAAAAACCATATTCCTACCATCTAAACCAAGTCCCCTAACACCGGAGTACTTTGTCATTTCCCCACTAAGTATAGGATTTTTTTTTTTGCTGTATTAGTTGTATCATAATTTTGAACCTTGCCCTTTTTTAACATATAGGCATTTCCCCAATAGAATATTCCATACTTTAATTGTTCCTCCATTAACAGACACCAAGAAATTCTTTTTGTTGGCACTTAGAACCTCTCTAGTACTTAGACCGAAGCAGGGACAGGAACACTGGGGTAGATGTTTTGAACCCACGTCTGACTTACATTACAGCTTGAGAAGCCCTGCTGGAAACACTGGTCTGTGGGTCCCCTACAGTTACAATCTTTTATGGCTGAGCTACTGGAGCTCAATGGCAGAGAAGGAGAGCCAGTTAAGATGGACCTGTCAACTGTGCTCACGCCTCAGTCTTAGATCCCACCTGTCCCTCCCCATCCAAGGCTGTCATCCATCTACCTCTGGAATCTTCATCTCTGTCACTGCTCTCCTCCTCTGGGTACTCATTGCGCCAATTATTCTCACTGTTCTCGTCATCTTCATCTTCATAAATGTCCTCTGGTTGTTGGTCATCATTCACCTGCACATTTCCATATAAATATAAGTCAAAATATCTAAGGTTTTGGTTTGGGGGAAGCTATTAGCAGACCAACTCGGAGTTGTCATTTAAGTGTGCCATGTGAAAAAGAGGCAGCCTTGGCTTAGTTTGACTCTGCTTCACAAGAGGCTGCACTTAAGATATAAGAGGGAGATACTGGCCTTACTCCACTCACAAGTCTAGCTCCAGGCACCACATTCCTGGTGGGACAGACAACTCCACCAGAAGGGAACGCACCAGGGTGGGAGGGAGAGACAGCTCTGAGTAGGTGATGGCAGTGATCTTCAAACTCTCAAAGGACAGCCGGGTGAGAGAGGGATTATACAGATTACGGGTGATTACAAAGATCAGAACCAAAACCCAAGTGTGAGGGCTGCAGGAAGGCAGGAGGAGGGGCTATGAATGGTCCAAGGTAGGTGCCTAAGATTATACTTATAGTGTAGGTGTAAAGTAAGGTTTTTCTCTCATAATAAGAGTATGACAGGTATTACCTTAATTTCTTTCATTAATCATTTTAGAATGTTGTACAAATAATGTCAGGAAGTTGGCTTTCTTAATCCAAGGTTTTCCTCTTATAAGATACAATTTAACAAAAGGTTTTGTTCTCATTCATGTTAAGAATTTCTGGTTTTATTTTCTTTTTATTATAAGCCTCCATACATTTTTCCTCCCAAGATTGGGGAGGTATAAATAATAAAGATACTGCAAACCTTGTAAAAGATTCATTAAGAGCAAAAATTATCAATGTAGACTTTCTCCCACAATTCCCTGTACTAAACCCAGGTTCCTGGATGGCATTTAGAATAAATATTTCCTTTTAAGCAAGGACAAGAACTAAGAACAACGTTGATCAAGATTGGAACTCAGGGAGGCAAAGTACCCTGACTCGAGAGTCGCTTAGGCTGCCTCATGCCCCTCATCCTCATGGGTCCACTTACCAGCTCCCACTCCTGGCTGTAGGGCTGTACAGAGAGGATGTTCTCAATCCATCCCGGAGTGGCCATCTCCAAGTAGTAAATGTCATATACATAGTCGTCCTTCTTTTCTTCCTGGTGCCCGACTCTTGGTCCATTTTCAGATACAGTCAACCGCTCACGGATCAACTCTACAGAATTGCAGAGGATCACATCTGGGTCAGATGCCTGTAAAGAAAATAGCAGATGATAACATGCATGAGATAAAAACATGGATGTTCCAAGAGAAAGAACCTAAGAATTGGGTGAAGGAAGCTTCCCTACAGTCTCTATGTTAGATTCAACATTTATCTCCATGACCTACTAGTCTCTTCTTAGTTATGAGATTAAAAATAAACAAGTATTTCTTAAAAAAAAAAAAAAAAAGTAACATGTAGTTCTTTTGAGATAGAAACTTATACAATAGCCTCCTACTCTTTTGTGTTTGGCTGATGCAAGAGCACATGCACAGACTGGCCTGAGGAGAGGGAAGGGCCAGCAGAGCTGGTGAGTCTTCCCCTAGGTCTTCCTGAGCTCCTTTGGTATGATGTTCTCTCCTTGGAGATCTGCAGGCTCACAGCTGACCCCAAAATGGGTCTGCATCTTGTGTGGCCTATAGGGGCCAAAGGGCAATTCCTAGGCTCTGATGACCACTACCAGCCACCACCTACCACTTGGCTTGTCCACAATGACATCCTGCTTTTAACCACAAACCAAGAGTGGATTCCCCTGTAACTCTTTTCCTGTTAGAAAGACTAGCTTAAGATGAATTGCCTCAGAATGGAACTGGCCCAGGTAAGATGTGCCCCAGGGGCAACAGACTGTGTTATCCAGGGTACAGAGGTCAATTTGGAAATCAAGGAACATGCAGCAAATGACCCCTTTCGATAGGTTCATCACAGTAGGCTGTGCAGCTCAAACCAGACACCATATGGGGAAGGGCATCCCGTAGCCAAAGCAGAAAAGGGGAGACCAGTGCTCTCTATCACAGGCTAATGGGAATCAGTTCTTTGCTCCAAAGTAAAAAGGAAGTAGAGATGTCAGTTTTTGTGCAGACTCTTAACCTCAAAGCTGTTTATAAGGAAAGTTCTGGCTCCAACTCACAAGTCCCCAGCCCTCAGTCCAGCAAATTATGCAGTGATTTTTTTTTTTTTGCTATCTTTTTTCAAATTTCCTATATAGTATTTTCATAAAAGAAAATTATTTTTAAGTTTAGTCTATGTATATGCTTACCCACATTTTCGATTATACTACACATCGCATTTTCTACCATTAAACATATAAGTACTTTCCCATCTTCCCAGTCTTCATGGTTATTAATTTAAAGGTCTAGTTGTGTAGTCAATTTCTCAGTTATAATTTTAGCCTCCATATACAATGTTGCAATGAATGTATAGTTTCCTGCATTTGAAAAATGGAGATAAAAGTACCTACCTCATAGGGTTTTTGAGATGATTAAATGAGTTAAAAGAAAATATAACAAGTACTTAGCACAATACTTGATGCATTGTAATTATTTAGTAAACCAACAGCTTTTAATACCACAGCTATTTGCTAGGATAAATCCTCGGGGTGAGATTACTAGATAAAATGAACCGAATAGTTTCACTTTTTCAGATTAAGTAGTAATCTATTAAGTAGTACTTTCTTTGCTTAAAATAAATGATGTCAATTTAAAGATAAACCCACTGTAATGTGGCACAGAAATGCTATCACTAATTTTTAAATTTCTTTAGATTTTTGGATGGCTTTAGAGTCCAAACAATAAAAATAAATTTAAATGGTTTTAAAATAGGCCCCAAGCTATTGGATTCCTGATATGTAAAGCTATGCTGCTTTCCAAAAGACCTGTATCAGTTTTAAGCACTACGTCATGTACCATTTTAATCACAGCTTTGCAAAAACCTTTCCCCTGCTAGTCTTAGTAGGCATAAAACTCAAGTTTGCTTTCTGCTTAAATTCATGTTTTTAAAATAATTACTCAGCAAACATTTTAGATGTGTTTATAATTTGAATTGCATTGTTGGGGAAATCTGTGTTCACATCCTTCAGTTTATTTTTCTTAAAAATTGAGCTATTGATTTGATTCCACTGAACAATGGTTTAATTTTAAAAACTATTTGATTGGTAACTCATGAATTACTTTTGGTAAAAGATGTGGCTATATACAACAGTCCCCAGGCCTTTTTGGCACCAGGGACTGGTGCTCCTATGAGAATCTAATGCCTGATCTCAGGTGGAGCTGAGGTGGTACTGCAGTATTGTTAGAGGTGGGAAGCTAGAGCTGGGGAGCGGCTGCAAACACAGATGAAGCTTCCCTCTCTGCTTACGTCCTGCTGTGCTGCCAGGTCTTGACTGGTCAGCAGCCTGGGGATTGGGAACTCCTGGCTATAGATATCATACCCAAATTGCTATCCAGCTATACTAGCACCATGAGTAAATAAGTTCTACTTGATGTATTTTGAATCAAAATTTCATTTTGTAAAGTTAAAAATATATTAAAAGGAGTGAAAAAGTTTTTAATGCTTATCATGAGGAGGAGTCATGTCTTAGGCTGAGAATTTTCTATTTCTATGATCTGCATGCAGACTTTTTTTGGAAGTGAGGTACAAAACACACTTATTAAATGTAATGTAGTGTTAATAACACTAAGTGTGCATTCTAGATCTAAATCTCCTCAAACTTGATATGCTTCCCAGTACTACTCCTTTAACCTTCCTTTGATGAATTTTCCTATCTGCTCTATCTTTCTTTACCTTGCTCAAAATCCTCCAGTAATTCCCCAGTTCAGGATGAAAAGGCAATGTGCCCTTAGAAAGTACCCACAGGATCTAGTAGACATCCTTGCCCCAAATTCTAATACTATTCTCCCCCAGATGACTGGGCTCCAGGCATAATGACCCTGAAAAACACCAGACAAACGTGGCTACAGAGCCTTTGCAATTACAGGTCCTCACACTGGAATGCCTCTCCCCAAGATTTACACAATGCCCTGCCATTCGCTTCCTTCAAGTCTTAACTCAAATGTCATTTTTTTCATTGAGACTTCTGACATGGAACCACTCTTTC